AATTTATTCCTGTGACTTAAAGCTGAATTTTCAGCATCATTACTTCAGTCTTCAGTGTCACAGTGTGTTTAACTCTCCATTATCATATTTTCTCATATTACAATAATGAAGACTGGGGTAAAATTGTTGGGTGTTTAGTGGTCATGAAAAAAATTACATCGCAAAAAATCTTAATGGTCATTTTCTTTATGCAAAATGTAATTTCTTAATTTTTCCTTTTGATTTTGTGCAAATGTGTTCCTGACAGCTTTGGTGAGATTCTCCCTGTTTTTTGCAACTTAGATGTTTGTGAAGCGAGCACCACTTTCTTATTTCTGTGTGTGTGTGTGTGTGTGTGTGTGTGCTTTACCGTGGTCTGGGCACGTGTTCCTCAGGTACTGGCATCCACACTGAATCACTGTTCTTCTGCTCCTTAAACTTCCCATTAAACACTCGCTCAATATCATCCAGATAAAACCCACACACTGCTGAGCCGGGAATGCTGGGACACACAGACACAGACTGATCAAACATGCGGTACAGTGTGTGTGTGTGTGTGTGTGGTGATCATGTACCTGTTGATCTGTGTGGTGAAGACTCCCACCACAGCGGGCCGCTGGTTGATCTGCAGCACGTTGGTGAGCGACTGCAGCACGTCAAAGTAGAAGAACATGTCTCCAGGAACCGAGCAGTTCAGACGCGCCTTCAGAAACGACGTCCAGTGGCGATCCAACACCCGCGTGGAGCCGCCGCTGTCGTTCTTACACACACGCGCCACGCGCGAATACACCACCTACACGACAAGCCAGGGAGATCAGCAGATGCGGGTTAGAAACAATGACTTTAGTTTTACTGCAAGCACACATAACGAGAGCACTGAATTTATACGGTTTGCTTCTGTTTGAATCTCATTTTATAACAGAACTGACGGTGTGCTCCACTGCGATCTCACTGAAGAAGAAATACACGTAGTTGCCGTATTCGACAGCATGCAGGAAGTGAGGCTCTGTAGAGACAAAACAACAGACAAGATATCATGTTGGTTTTTTGTTTGCTTGTTTATAATTTATATATTTTATATTTGTTTTCAAGAGGTTAAACTGTAGTAAACTATGAAGAGAATACAACAAAATAAATACATTTTTTCACCACATTACTAAACTAAAACCATAACCCATATTCAATGTAATATAAGCACACATTAAACTTCAAAAGTAATATGAAGTAAAAACAAGTAAGAAACCTACTAGAAACTGGAGCAACTTCATACATATTTTAGTATCCAGTCCATAGATTTATGTATGCATTTTTGGATATATACGTCATGCACATGTATTTCCATCCTAAAATCTATCAATACATGTTGATATTATACAAGTAAATATATAGAGGTAAATATAAAAGATTGATATTTATTAAAATATACATACACATTACAAAAACGTATATAAACATACAAATGTGTTGCATACAAGTTGTTTTAATAAAGTTATGTAAATAAAATATATGGTTGACATATATGGTTGCTACATATAATACCATATAAATCATGTAGATATTATTAACGTGTACATATATACATTTTAGTAAGGGTTATAAACATATCTTTATAAAGCGGAGAGTTCCGGTGCTTGATTCTGATTGGCTGAGCCGCGTTCGAAGCTGTTGTAAATGACTCTACAAAGTAACATACACCTTTGTGTGTTGCTCGGCAACCACTTTGTTGCAACCACAGCTGTTTCTGAGGAGCTACATTGTTTGGTGGAAGAATACTGTTTTTATTAATATCATTACACTTTATTTGCTCTGTTTTATTCTGTGAAACCTAACTACGTATATGGAATAACCGTTTTATTCCATTAGCTGTTTTAAATTCACTGTAAACTACGGCTTCTTGGGGCTTATTGCTTTATCATCTACCCAGACAATGTACGTATGTGAAAATTACGTATTACCTTATAGATAACATATTGCAATATCACCCTAGATACAGAGCAATATATGTTATATATTATATTTACATATGGGGAAAAACTCATTACTTGAAATAAGTATTTTTTTTCTGTTTTTTGGTCCAGTAGGTGAAAATGTTGGATCTGATCACTTACTAAAGAATCAGCACACGCTCCTCAACAAAACACATGATCTGAGGAATCATTCATTGACTAAACGAGGCACCTCTGAGCCATTTGGAGTCGTATTTGACGGTCCGCAGGACGGGTCGCCCCTCTCCACCCAAACTCTTGTAGATCACTGCGTCACTCGCCTGGAAGTCCGTCACTGTGCCCGAATAGAAATGACCACCTGAAACACAGAGACAAAATACACTAGTGAAGGGGTGACTCAAACTCTGGTGTCTAGTTAGAATTTGTGGCTGCCAATCAAAAGCAATTTAATCAATCAATAATTTAATCATTCAATAGCCTGCATTTGGCTTCAGACAAAAAAGAAGGAATACAAAAACAATAATATTGATAATAATCAATCAGAATACTGTTTTATTATTTAAAATAAAAAAAAAAATTTTTTTTAAATTCTAAAAATTAATAAAGAAATATATTACTTTTTACTGTAAACTTAAATGTTTTATTAAAATGTGTTTCATTGTATTATTAACAATAACACTCACAACAATAATAGTACTACTACTACTACTAATAATATTTATTATTATTACTATTATTGTTATTTTACAAAACAACTAATATTCAATATGACTATACAAAATCAAAATACTTTAATTGTATTATTTGAATTGTAAAAATTAAACAATTAATAAATATACTTAATTTGATTAATAATAATAACTAGCATTATTATTATTATGACTATTACTGTTATTATTTTACAAAGTAACTAATTTTAATAAAATATTTTATTTAAATTGTAAAAATTTAATTAAAATGTTACTATTTACTGTAACATGTAAAATGTTTTATTAAATGCATTTAATTTTATTATGATGAATGATAACAACAACAATAATAATAATAGTATTTATAATAATTATTGTTTAAATAAAGTTTTAGTAATTTTGTTTGTCGTTTTTTAAAAATAAGTCTATATTAATTAATAATAATAATAATAACTAGCATTATTATTATTATGACTATTACTGTTATTATTTTACAAAGTAACTAATTTTAATAAAATATTTTATTATTTAAATTGTAAAAATGTAATTAAAATGTTACTATTTACTGTAACATGTAAAATGTTTTATTAAATGCATTTAATTTTATTATGATGAATGATAACAACAACAATAATAATAATAGTATTTATAATAATTATTGTTTAAATAAAGTTTTAGTAATTTTGTTTGTCGTTTTTTAAAAATAAGTCTATATTAGTTTTTATTACTGTAATTTCAGTTATTTTAGTACATCAAGTTAAATTAAGATGAGAAATATTGCCTTCGCAGCTAGCTGAAATAAACTTTAACTAAAAAAATATAAGAAGAGTTAATTTGCAAAAACCGATAAACGCCACTTCAAAAAAAAAAAAGAGCTGAACCCTAAACACGTCGTTTTGTCAAAATTGGCTATTGCTACAAATATACCCCAGCGACTTAACACTGCTTTTGTGCTCCAGGGTCACAAATAGGTCCAAAATAACAGTTCAAAATGTTTAGCCATTTGTAAATTAATAGCTATCACAAGTGTGCATAGGAAAACATCAGAGACGGATGTCAGTATAAGGTGTAAACGGTTCATAGCAGAACATCATGAATTCAGCCGCTCTTCTGTCTGTGGTTTCATCAGCTGACTCTTTCCCAACAGTGAGATACTGAGGAGACACATCTTTAGTCCAGCTGTGTGTCGTATCAGACGCTCTTCATCTGATCTCAGCTCTGCTCTGATGGAGATACTTACGCTGTTTCTTCCTCGCACGGCGCACTTGGACACGTCTGTAGAGCTCCACGTCAGTATCTGAAAACACAGATTAGCATGAGCCCTCATGTGTGGCAGTTACCAAAATATGTGACCCTGGAGCACAAAACCAGTCATAAGGGTACATTTTTCCAAATTGAGATTTATACTAGGGCTGGGTATCGATTCAGATGTCTCGATTCCATTCGATTCTCTCTGCAGCTGCTGTGTATGTGATATGACGGTAGTTTTGTAAATAAACGGTAAAATGCTAGTGAAGTGACTCTCAGAGCAGCTGGGGATGATATTCGTGTATTCATATCATTATAGTGAGACGACAGAGGCTGAAAACACCGCGAGCGCCGTCCGCGCTTTAGTAAGTGTGTAGTAAACAAAACTACTGGTGCGTCGCACCATCCGCCATTCATTCATTCATTGCGGAAATCATGGTGCATTTTACGCGTGATGTCGAACGCTTCCACAGATTTGTAGTATTACTATAGAATTTTACCTGAGCATTGCAAATCACGCATGCTTAGTTCTTGCTTCTTGTCAACAGTATCTAACAGTAACAGCCATGAATGACAGGCTTTCTGTTGTAACATCGCGCAAGGTAAATAAGAGGGTGACATCTAGTGGAGAAGACTAATGATAAGATTCACGTTAATCAGATCTCGTTTTAAATGTCTGCTGAAATAAATACCGGAAAAGATCGAATCAACGTCATTTAAAAAAACGATTAATCGAAAAATTTATTTTTTTTTGCCCAGCCCTAATTTATACATCATCTGAATGATAGGACAATATTTGGTTGAGATACAACTATTTGAAAATCTGGAATCTGAGGGTGCAAAAAAAATCACAATATTGAGAAAATCATCTTTAAAGTTGTTCAAATGAAGTTCTTAGCAATGCATATTACTAATCAAAAATTAAGTTTTGATATATTTACGGTAGGACATTTACAAAATATCTTCAAGGAACATGATATTTACTTAATATCCTAATGATTTTTGGCATAAAAGAAAAATGTATAATGTTGACCCATACAATGTATTGTTGGCTATTGCTACAAATATACCCCAGCGACTTAACACTGCTTTTGTGCTGCAGGGACACATATATGACTGTCTAATAGCACCACATTTCTTTAAAATGCATCCAGTCCAGGCATGTGGTTTGGTGAACAGACTGATCTTCAGTGACCTGGCAGCGATGTACAGCATATGCTGGATCCGGATCATCCGCTGATAGTCCAGACCCAGACGCTCCGTGCCATTATTAAACATCAGACCCTGAAAACTGGGATACAGGTGCGAGTCTGTGGAGCACAAGAAACAATTCATTCACAAACAGATCTGATAAAACTCAACCCGCATTTATAAATACAAGCAGTTTTCCGTGATGAACTGCTGTTCGTTGTTTCTAGGTAAAGGCTGGAATCAGGGTTATTATAGTTAAGTGACACTACAACCACAAAAAAAACAAAACTTGCAATAAAATAAACATGAACTGAAATCAAATCAAATACATATAAAAACACTTACAATTATTTTATTTCAGCTAGTTGCTAAAGCAGTGTTATTTTAGTATCATTGAAATACTAATATAGTTTTTATTAAAAAAATTTTTTTTTTTAATTTTCAGTTTTTACTTAAATTTTTGTTCAAGTTTTTGTAATTTTTTGGTGTGTTTTCATCATTTACTATTTTTGTTATATGACTCTATAATTGGAACTACTTGAATTAAAATAAGTTTAAGGTTTTTTATTTTTATTTTAGTGAACATTTATTTTATTTCAACCAATAAAAATGTGCTTTATGGTTTTAGTTCAAAGCCTTGTTCAGACTGTCAGTCCGAATCCGATTTTTGTTCATATCCGATTGGATATTTTTGTCATATTGGTTTTAATATTTTGCAGGTTGTCTGAGCAGCACAGCCAAACTAATTTCCATAATTTAAAAACAATGCCAATGTAATAAAACATAAAATAAAAAAAATAATGGCAGATATTTAGGCCAAAGTGGGCGAAGATAAAAATCTTTGTCATTATTTATTCTTTGTAATAAAAAAATAAGATGCACATTAATACACAAATAAAACAAACAGTGCTTTATTTTCAGGTACAGTAGGTGTATTTAGTGTAGCATTCAAGAAACTAAATCAAAAATATCAAAACAAAACACTATATACACTTCACTGTATAAATTATGCATTGATTCTTATTAAAGCAACTGTATTCAAATTTTTCAGTCAAGAGCAGTGAGTGATTTTTCTCGGTTTTGTTGTTTTATTAACATTAAAGGGACAGTTCACCCAAAAATGAAAGCTCTGTCATCATTTACTCACTCTCAAGTTGTTTAAACCTAAATGAGTTTCTTTCTTCTGTTGAACATAAAAGTTATTTTGAAGAATGTGGGGAACCAAACAGTTGCTGGTCCTCATTGACTTTGATAGTAGGAAAAAATAAAATAAAATGTGACCCTGGAGCACAAAACCAGTCATAGGTCAATTTTTGGAAATTGAGATTTATGCATCTTCTGAAAGCTGAATAAATAGCTTTCCAATGGTGTATGGTTTGTTAGGATAGGACAAATTTTTCGCTGAGATACAACTATTTGAAAATCTGGAATCTGAGGGTGCAAAAAAATCTAAATATTGAGAAAATCA